AAATTGACATGAAAAGACAATGCATTTTCTATGAGGGTTTCCTGATTTCTCTTGTCAATATTCAAACATGAATATCTTTATAACCTGATAACATAAAAATGTGATCTTATATACCGAAAGAACTGTCATTTATCTGGGTTTAAGAATCTGAAGTCAGATCTTAGATACGATAATCCGTTTAGAAATTATCAAAGAAAAACAAGCTATACTTTCGCTTGTCCACTACTGTATAATAATTAGGTAAATATTTAGTTTACTTTAGTAAAATTTCAATATGTACTAAAATTTTCTATAATCTGTTTAAAATTTAAAATTATTGCTTTATGAAAATATGTATTAAATAATTTATTAATTGTATGTATTAAAAATTTATTTAAAACTACTAAAATGTTCTTAAATAATAGCACAAATTTTTAAATATAATACTTCCCATTATTTTATATTAAATTTAAATCTAGTGCATAGTCTAATTAAATGATCAAAAAAATCAAAGTGATAAACGCATATTTTAAATATAATATCACTTTTAAAATTAATAATGTAAATAACGTAATAACGTTCAAAGCAAGTTTTTCTAATACCTATGCTTATAATTAATATATACATTTTTAAAAACTTGATAAAAGTATTATAAATCTTATTGATACACTGACCGTGTTAACAATTATCAAGGGCATGGGAAAATATTTGAACAAAACAATTTTTCTATTCAAATTATCTTAAAAATAAATGTAAACATTTCGGTATGTTATAGAAACATAGGTTTCTTTAGACAATATTTGATTTAAATTAAATCACTTAAAATAAAGCTCAATTGTAGTTAACCGGTAATTGTTTGTTTACCGGTAACCGGTAAATATAATACTTTCAAAACTCTCTTGAATATGTTTAATTTTAAAAAATATGTTAATAAAATATTGAATTCAATTACAATATTATAACACATTAACATATTGATTTAATATGTAACTGGTTAATGAACAAGTTTATTATATAATTTTGACAAAGTCTGAACAATTAAAATACCATTTAAATTATTAGTTATATATAATTTTATCGGTCATCCTAAATTTAAACTTTGAATTTTCAAAAATATGGAATTATTAGGCACTTCACATACAACTTCTCTAACAAAATCCTTTTTTACATTAGTGCATTTGAGTAGCTTAATCGTGCTACCTGTCCACTTCAATTCGCCCAATCCGTCAATCATGTCGTTAATTTCATCCACCGTTATTTTAAACTCATTTATATTCACACTTTTCATCGCATCCAGTATCTTACGTTTCTCACAGTTATATCTATCAAGTAAATCATTAAGTTTATCAACAATAACCTGGCTACTATCCTCAGCCCAGTTAGTCGTATTCTGGTCAATTAAGTGTGCCACGTAATGTTGGAAATGATCCATGCTAGTTTGCAGCGCGTTCAACGAAATAATGCACGCGAATTTTGCCATGCATTTAACTATGATTTCAGACTCCTGGGCCAACTCTTCAATTTTGGCTTTCAGTTCCCTCAACTGAGTCTCCTTTGCTTCCACCATATTCTGAGTGCTGGTCAATCGTTGTAATATAACCTCGTCCCTTAACTGTTTGTGGATCAAGCTCTTTTCGTGGCTTACACTTAAATGTTGTTGTTTACTGTGAGCGCATGTAACGCACTCCATTGTCGAATTATCATCGTAATATTCGTAGTTAAGACTTAAAAGACTTTTAAGTGGGCCTAATAATGCATTTTTTAGAGCCACGCTCCAACCTTGCTCCGATTTTGCATCGGTCTCTACTTTTCCACCAAGGTTAAACTTGTGACCCTTCTTGCGTTTACTCTCAACAAATTGGCAGTCTGTTTTGTACTGGACCACCACAATTCCGTTAACCAGCTCATTTTTGCAGCATTCCTCGTGTCTACATACTCGTTTAATGTGTTCAAGCTCCTTTTCGACAATTTCAATGTGCGGCATAAAAAGTTCGGGTTTTAATTTGTCCAAATCATCTTCGCATTCGGCGATGCACTTTCTCCTTTGTTCGCATTGGATCTGATTATCAGCGATATTTTTCGCGATGTCAGCCAATGGTTGAGTCAATAGAAGTATATTCTGTTTGGCGTTATTGAGGGATAGGGTGTCCCGGATGTTGTAAGGACGGCGAGCTTCGGCGTTACTAATTAGGCGTTTACATTCATCGATAGATCTGAAAATATGACATTGAAAATTAAAACACTTGTTATTAATTGACTATTGACCATAAGTTACTAATATATTGTATATAATTTGTTATAATTATATCTATAAAAGCAGAATAAATTGAGGTTCATAAAAAGGTTTTAATTTTTTCTCACATATTATTTATATAATTATTTAACTATAGAATCATAGTACAGTTTACGGTCAAATATGTCATTTTAATGCAGAGTATATACTGTTTTTGTATACTTCTAAAGACTATATTCCTAAATTATTTCTCAATTACCTTTAACAGAACAGAGTTGTGCCTTAGTTGAAATATAAGGGAATACAGAAAAACACTTCGTCGGAGGGTTTGACTTTAAAACCAGTCTTCGCCCGGTCGCCCTGTCAAAGAGAGTGAGCTAGGTATATATTTAATTATTATTAAATATTAAATTATTATTAATTTTATACAAACATATTTAAATGTAGTTTAACTAAATCAGTTAATAATTTACTAATTATAACTGTAATCACATTAATACCTCTCACTCCCATTTAGAACCACAAAATTGGGAAAGAGAGCTATTAATATGTGATTACTGTTATAAATAATAAATTATTAACTTATTTATCTTTTAACTATATAAAATACTTTGTAAAAAATTAATAATAATTTAATATTTAATAATAACTAAATATATACCTAGCTCACTCTCTTTAACAGAGCGACCGGGCGAAGGGGTTTTGAAGTCAATCCCTTCGTCGGAAACTTTTTAATTATATGGGCTTGATTTATACGGTAAATAGCATTGTTAACATCTAAACATGTATTATAACAATGCAATCATCTGTGTCCTGGAAAGCCAGCAGAATAGACTGCCCATTGTCAAGTATTTCACCTTGACATTCAAGTATTTGAGGGTCCTGTCAAGTATCAAGGGAAGAGGTAATACTTGACATTATAATGCCAAGTATTTGGAAATCTGCTATAATTAAAGTTAATTTTTTATAAAATTATGTTAAAAATAAAATATTATATCATTTCATATAATATAAATACTTGACATTATATTAAACATTAAATAAAATTTTTAAAATACAAATATCTAACAACAATTTATATCATTTTGCATATAATACTGCAATTTAAT